TTAAATTAAAAACAGATGAATAATTAATACGTTTACTGTACGTATTATGTCAATATACATAAATGACTTGTATCAAGGATTTATATGATGAGGCTATACAAATAGTGTTATATGGGATGAAAATCGTGAATTGTGAGATAATAGAAAAAATCGCACGACAAATGTAACGTAAACTAATGCAAATAAGCAAGTCTGTGGCAGAACTGTTCAGGTTTTGGTCATGTTTATTTGGTGATAATCCCACTTGTTTTTGTTTACTGTAAAATACTTTATTTTCGGTTGGAATTAATTTTCTGTATTTTCGCTAAAGTAGTGATTCATTGAAAATAAAATCCAGTGAATATACCTCTTTTCCGATATTTTACACTCAATTCACCAAAAATCAGTGAAAATAAATTCCATACAAAATACCCAAAAAGACTTTTCAGCAAAAATTAATTCCAACTAAAATAAAGTATTCTCTAGTACGCATTCAAAAATTTCTAAATGTGCATTGATACTACAGTGCGTTTCTTAACCAGATTTTCTTGCTCAAATTTTTCTTCACTTTTTTTTTTTAAATCCTTCACAATTTCTGGAAATGAAATTTTGGAGCCAACAGACAAAATTTGCGTCAATTTTTAGTTTTTACTCAAAAAATTGGGCTATTTTTGTCGAAATCTTCTGAAGTAAAGTGCAGACTGTAAACAGGACTATTTTTTGAATTTGTGATGAAAAGAGGAAACAGGTAATGAAAAGGTCAAGAATTACAACGAATAAGTTGAAATTACTGATGACAATGATACTCACTTAAAAAAAATGTTACAAAATTTGCATATCTTTATAAATCTTTGCTTGCATTCAATGATCAATTAAAGTGGGAGGGTTATCACCTGCGCACACGTGGGAATTGAGTCCCAAGCGACGATAACAACACACGCTTAAAACGCAAAGGCTCATGGGTAGACAATTGTTTATAAACACGCTATGGCCATCTGACGCTTGTGCAGGTGACGACTTCCTCGCTTTAAATGTTTATTTAAAAAGTATTAAATATTATTATTAAATAAAATATTACTTCGTTTTATTTCAGTTGAAACGAATGAAAGAGTTAGAGCAAGAAAAAGACACGTTTTTACAAGGACTCGAAGTTGTTGACAGAGCCAGAGACTGGTATCATAAACAAATTGTTACAATAAAAGATAAACAAAAATATTTTAATAGAACTTCAACAAGTAATGTAAGTGATCACAAGACTATCCATTCCTTATTGTCTTACCAGAGACCATTTTGTTATCTATTAAAGGGCAGTGGTCCTCACGCAGTATGTTTCTGACAACCACCGCCCTTTAAACTTGTGCTGGTTATTGATGTTTGAGTTTGATGAGCACCTGTAACAATTGGAGTCTGATGTTTTGAATATGTTCCAACATTTCGTGAACTTTCGAAGCTAGTTGCTTACAATTGAAAACTGTACAAAACTAAGGCTGGAATACAAAACATTGCATAAGACGATGTTCTTCTAATGCCGAGCTGATTGTTGTGAAGACACTAAAAGCTTTTGTTCTAAGCTAATTTTGACTCTGAAAGGTGACTTTATCTCTTGATATAATTAAATGTATTTTATCTTTAAATTCAGGACTTGTCTTCAGAAACTCGTAATGAAAGAGTAAAATTCCAGAAATCCAGAATCTTGGAATCAAATCGACAGTTAACAGCTCTCATGGAAAGCTCTGATAAGGTACTTGTTTTTAATTAATCTTTGAGTTTTAATTTATATTATGTAATTATGCAAATCATGTCAAGATCACATGTTTCACTGTGATGAATTTATTCATGGCAAGGTTTTAATAGTTTAGCTATTTTTGTTCACAGAGCTTCCCAACTCGTATGTATTTAGCCGTGGATCACATCTTTACTACGAATGAGTTAATTCATGGCAAGGTTCTAATAGTT